AACTAGTAAATAATACGACTAGGAATTGGAATCGAACGGAACGGAATGGAACGGAACAGAACTCAATTCTTTATTGGCCAAGTGTGATGGGACACACAAGGATTTTGTCTCCAGTGCTAAAGCTCTCAGTGTACACACAAAGAGTAAGGACTCGTTGTCACCTTTGCTAGTGTGCAACGTGCAATACACAACACAGGATCTCCTTGTGGAGGGACGGTGATAAGGGGTGCAGCCCAGTCCAAAAATGACAGCAAATCTTCGATGTTATGACTCTCCCCATAGTGACCGTTCAAACTTAGAACGAACCTCCCTGGGGTAATAGGCGCTCCTTGACTCATGACCAAATCTCTTGTTTCAAAGTGAGGCCTTCGTTAAGTGAATCCTGCCCGCCGCTGATGAGACAGGTTCAACCTTTCTCGTGTTCTGTGTCCTTTTGTGTTCCTCTTCCTCTTCTCCCCCGCCCAGTTGATTGGCATCCTGTTGTCCCAGGTATTGATCAGTCAAGTCAAAGACCAGATCAAGTTCCTGAGTTACAACCAGGGGCATCGGACCGATTATTGGTAGCACAGGACCCAAACCCAGAAGAGTAGAAGATGTCCAAGAACTTCCTGCTCGCCTCTCTTCCGGAAACATCTCCTTCCAAGCTGAACTTCTGGGAACTTCGTAGTTGGACACCACCTTCTCCCTTTCTCCTGAATTTAGGAAGAGGATCCCCCCGTAAGGTGGACTTCGAAGGAGCAGGGTAGGAAGACCCATTGTTGACGAGGTTTTGAACTTGGGTCCAGCCCCTGTGGGAGTCTGAATCCGAGGAGGAAGATGAACAGCCGACACGGAGCGGGAGCGCGGCTCCGTTGTCTGTGGAGCGAACTGGGGAAGGGCAAAGTCCATCTGGGCAGAGCAGGGGAGAGGTAGAACAAGGGAGAGGGACTTCAGAGGAAGATCCAGGCCCACCCACTCTTCATCCTCCCTGCACGCAGGGAGGAAAGGTGAAGGGAGCAACGTGGGTTGACTGGCTTACGGGGGAGGAAAGGGCCCTGATTCCCTTCATTAGCCACAGTTGGGAATGAGTTTAAAGGAGATGCATGCTGAGTGCGGCAGCTTCTGGGAACAAACATGATGTGTTGACTTTGTTTATCTGTGTTCCTGGCATGTTTCCAACCGTGTTGATTTACTGCCATGCCTTCATGTCTGGAATTCCTTCTCCTGCCCTGCCGGACTAATGACCTTATCTTGCCTTGATTGGACTTATAATTTCAGTTTTTGTTGACCACGTTTTGGACTGGATTCTCTGCAGCCCAAGGCTGTTCCTGGGAGAGTTTTTCTCCAGCCCAGAAGGTAACCAGGACATTGGGGGCAAAGTTGGAGCGAATAAAGGGACTCCTCCTGATTATCTGGCTGGGTTGCCTTTGTGCCACGCCCCTTTGGGTCAACACAACTTGGGTGTTGGAGAAGACATCTCGGAACACCGCGGGCAACCAAAGCAATGGACCAAAGCGGATCATTGAAGAAATCTGGGTAGATTTCTCACTCAAGTCACAAGGGATACCATGCTCAGTTCATCCCGTTTTGGACACCATGTGTGAAGAACCCAACTTCTGGAGAAGGTCCTGAGGTTGGGACAGATGGAAAGGAAGAGATGAGGAAGAAGCCCAGGGAGATGGACTCAGCTAGGATGGGGTGGAAGCCCAGGATCTGATTGGGGACTGATGGTTCTAGAGACCATCTATGTGGTCCCTAAGACTTCACCCGCAACTTTGAGGGCACATATGTTGGTCGTTCTCGACATACGACCAAAGTTGAGCCTAACATTGATGTTGCTAAACGGGACATTTGTTAAATGAATGTTGTCTCATTTTACGACCTTTCTTGCCACTGTTGTTAAGCAAATCCTCACAGCAGTTAAGTTAGAAACATGGTCGTTAAGTGAATGTGGCTTCTCCCTTGATTTGGCTTGTCACAAAAGGGACCCCTGGGAGACACTTGCGATGGTCGTAAATACGAACCAGTTGCCGAATGTCTGGATTTTGATTATGTAACACTGGGACACTGTAACAGTTGTAAGTGTGAAAAACAGTCACAAGTCACATTTTAGTGCCATTGTAAATTTCGATTGCTAAACCCAATGATTGTAAATCAAAGATGCTGGTATCCGTAGTGGAATATGGCCATGAGTGGACTCCAACTCCCAGAATTCCTCAGCCAGTGAAGCTTGTGGACTCCAACTC